ACATTGAGCAGCACCTAATGAGCTCTGAGTTGTGTCTTATGTCACATATATCATGTGTGCTACTTAAAAGGAACAGATTACACTTTTCTTCATCTTCTTTTCTAGGAAGTAATGGCCCTCAGAAATTCTGCATTGAAAAAGTTGGTAAGGAAACCTGGTTACCAAGAAGTCACACTTGGTGAGTAGTTACATGTGGACTTTCTGTACCTTTAGTGCTTCTCTCTTCTGCTCTTGCATTTGCCAGATGAAATCTAATTTGAAGCAGTTCTCTATCTCCAGCTTCTTTGATTGCTCTGACATGCCAGGATTGAAAACTCTTCTGGTTGCCCTATTCCCAGACTTTGCTACTGCACTGTGCACAGTTTGTCAGTATCAGATCTGTCAGTATGCTCTATCACCATTCCTGCACAGACCCGAGAGGCGTTTCCCTAGTTCTTTCCTTTAGAGATTAAATAACTGCAGAAAAGTCGTGTCAGCATTACATAGATCCAGACAGTTCGTAGACACAATCGTTTTACAGTAACACCATAAAAGATAAACATGTAGTCAGGAGAGGGAGTAGTGTGAACGAAATCACAGCAAATGCTGACAGCCAGGATGCTCGGATAAGAATGCAGAGACATTTTCCTCCCAGGACCAGACTGTTGGTGGCTCGGCATTGCTGTGCCAAACAGGAGCAACAGGTACGCAGGTCAGTTTCCCCCTAGGTATTGTGTCCAAAATAGTGTCTGTTTGCCTTTGGGAACATTCTGACAGTAATATCCCGCGCACTTTTAAACTACTTCAGGGAATCCTCCGTTGTACCCTTTTCTCCCTGGGTGTCGTTTTTCCAGTTGATGATTGCAAGAGCTGAACACCCTAAGATAATTTTGTGGAAGATGTGGAATGAAGCAGAATTTTGGCAGACGACTTCTAGGGCAAAGTTTAGAGGGGGACAAAACAACCCACCTATGTCCAGGCAAGCGTAGAGAGGAGAGAAATTCAGCTTTTTCATGCTTTGGCTGGAATTCGGAGATGCGTCAGACTGGGATGATACTAAACTTCATGATGAGTATTACAGTTCTCTGCGTCTTGGACTGGTTTTAGCTTTCAAACATTCTGGTTTTCACCCGGGGTGGTAACAGCCTTCTGTTTCTTGAGTATCCCTCCCGAACTTGGCCTGTTTTTACCGCTTTTAGAAGTGTTGAGGCAGTGAGATTGCACTGATTGCTATTTCTTCATTCTAACCCTCAGACCGTTATTAACTTTGACTGTAGCAGCCGCGTTCTGCGTGGGGTTTAGAGAAACCTAACACAGTTTTGTTCTCTCCTGCTCAGTTTTAATCGTTTGGATTTGCCACCTTATAAAAGCTATGAACAACTAAAGGAGAAGCTGCTCTTTGCCATTGAAGAAACAGAGGGATTTGGTCAAGAGTAGAAGTGGCTTCTAGTCCAAAAGGAGATCTCACATAATAAAAGGCCCAGCCACCTAAAATTGCACACTTAATTGTATATAAGCTTTTTGTTCTGTACAGTGATCTTTCTGGAACTCTAAAAGTGTAATTGTTCTCCGTTCTTCCACAAAGATATGCAAAACAGTTCAGCCTTTTCTACTTTTATTTATTGCCCTTCCAAAAGACCAGAAAAACCCCTCATAAATTTTGAAAGCAGACAAGAGACTTATTTAAAATATATATTAAAATAAAAAAAAAATATATATACTAATAGGCTCTAGTTTTATAGAGCTTTAAGTGTATGAGAAGTTGCAGCCATTTAAAAGGGCCTGGATTTGCTTTATCTTGGCTTTATTATTCAGAAAAAACCCGTTTAAACTGCTCTGTGTTCTCTTAAGAAACATCTCCAAGTTTGTTTTATTGCATGGCTGTTCTAAAAGGTGTTAAAGGCGTAGGCCAAATGTATCCTAAACATGTAGAAAGATGCTGCTGGCATTCGAGACGACGGAATAGGTTGTTCTGTCAGTTTAATTTTTTTTAAACACGTAAGTAGCTGATATATCCCTCTCTACTGATGTAGCCAAGGTCATGAATAAAGCCTTTACTACTTGCACAAGAGTCATGTACAATAAGATGAATGTGATTTAATGTGGAAAGAAATTGGTGCCACTGTTCTGACTTACTGTAGGAGCTGAACAGAATATTTTAATTCATTTGAGCAGCGTTGAAATTTGTTTACATATTACCTTGGGTTATTACCACGAGGATGTTAGGTAATCTTAAAAAAAATAATAATAATAAAAGAGAAACTATTACGCACTCTGTTCTCGGTCTGGTGTCTTACAGGTTTCTTCTTGTGGTTTGTCTTTTGTTTCCCTTTTCAACCTGCGGTGTCCTTTTTAGAGCTTTGTGGAGTACGTGATGTAAGCTGAGGTGTAAGGGTATGCAAAAGGTAACGCGGACTTCGCTGCTTTCTGTGTTCACGTGCACTTTCAGTTACTGGATCTCATAAACCCAAATAAAATGAAAGTTACGTAAGCTTTGCACAGGTAAAAACATTCTTCAGACTTAAAACACTCTCATTCCTCTTAAGTTCTGATAGATACTCAGATGTACCTGAATTAAGTATGACTGAAACCTGCCATTCTTTTATGTAGGTTAAGTTTGTCCTAAGTGCACAAAAATATAAAGCCATTTTAAAATTTGCTTTATTGGCGTTGAAGCCATTTGCTGAACTGCAGAGATGTGTTTGGGGAAGGTAAGCGTGAACTATATTGAACGAACGCAGCTTTCGGCAAACTCTGCTTCCTTACTGTAAACACGTTTAAAATTACCATTTCTATTATGCTTCAGATATTTACTGTGAATTCCACTACGTTTAACTCGCACGGAATTCTGTACACACGTGAAAATAATTTCTTAGGATATGATTAAAACCACTTCTGTAACACGTTCCATTGCACTGTTAAAAGTGTATATGCAGAAGACAACGGCTGTTCTCGCCTTGTGTTTATCTTTCCAACGCAGCAACTGCATTCTGCCAAAACTTTATTTTTCTACATACCGGATTCTCCTGAGGCTGGGCCTTCCGTAGGCACAGCGTCCTGCGGAGCTGCTACCCGCTACGCAGCCTTCGTAGCACTGCGAGTGCAGCAGGCCCAGCAGGCCGTGCTCTCACCTTCTCCAAGGGCTTCAGACATTGCCAACACTTTGAGGGTTTTGTGTGTTACACCAAACAGCTTCTGCAGCAGCATTTGCATAAAGCTAGCATTAAAGGAATTTCAAGTACAAATCCACTTAAATTATGACTCATGCCAGTTAGAATGGAGGGAGCTTGAAAAAACCAAACCAAACAAGCATCAAAGGGCAAGGGAGGCGTGTGTGGCTTGCCTACGAGACAATTAGGGCATCGTGGAGATGAACTTCATGAATTTGCACTGATGACTGACTTGGTGACCCACTACCAACTGCTGAGTTTTGTGAGTCTGTGAGCGAGAACAAATAAAAAAACGAGCGCATCACGGGAACATAGCTGTTTTATTGTGTCAGGAACTGCAGCTGTCTCATTCCTGCACGGGCTTTCCTGCGGGTCAGGGTTAGCGAGCAAGGCCCAGAACCAAACCTTCTGCACGGGCGTACAACCCCTCCGTGGGGTTCAGAGGACTGACGGGACAGCAGGGCTCTTGAGGGGAAAAAAGGCAGTAACCTCTGTACTTCTGCGGGTGTGTGTGACCAGCTTGGATGCTCTGGGAATTTCAGGAGTACCCCACTGCAACTTTTGTTTTTCCCATTTGCATTCCCCGTAATTCAGCTGTATCTGGGGGGAGGGAGGACGACAGCAAAGGCTGGAGACCAGGCAAGGGAACCAGTGCGGTAATACGGTGGGGGTCGTGGGCTCTCATTGTTCCTTTCTTCCTGTAGCAACTCAGTTGCTCTTCTACAACCACCCAACAGCCTGTACGTGGTCCGTGGGCAGGCAGCCTTCCTCTGCGCACGCAACCTTTTCTGCGCACGCAACCTTTTCTGCAGCTGAAAAGGCACAGGCTGGTGCGTCTGCCACAAGGCTGCTAGCAGTGGGTTTGTCTGTGCCAGATGCTTTTGCAGTGTACGAATGCACAAAATACAAAGAATGTCTCTGAAACACTACAGGTCACCCACCCTGGGACTTGGACACATGAAATACTCACAGTATTTCCATTATTCTACTATTGCAAAAATAAGAATTACTTTGCCATAGTGGACCAAAACCATCCTGTCAACTAGTTTTGTGATCTGAGGAAGCAACTGAAGCTCTAGTCTCTCAGCTGTGGATTTTTAGCACTGCCTTGGTGTAGGCTTGCTTTGTTGTAGAGTGACGGAATGGTTTGGGTTGGAAGGGACCTTAAAGACCATCTAGTTCCAACCCCCTGCCATGGGCAGGGACACCTTCCACTAGACCAGGTTGCTCAAAGCCTCATCCAGCCTGGCCTTGAACACTTCCAAGGATGGGGCATCCACAGCTTCTCTGGGCAACCTGTTCCACTGCCTCACCACCCTCTCTGTGAAGAATTTCTTCCTGACATCTAATCTAAACCTCCCCACTTTCCATTTAAAGCCATTGCCCTTGTCCTGTCACTGCAGGCCCTTGTAAAAAGTCCCCCCCAGCTCCCTTGTAGCCCCTTCAGGTACTGGAAGGTGCTATAAGGTCTCCCCGGAGCCTTCTCTTCTCCAGGCTGAACCAGCCCAACTCTCTCAGCCTGTCCCCATAGCAGAGGGGCTCCAGCCCTCTGAGCATCTTTGTGGCCTCCTCTGTCCTCGCTCCGACCAGTCGATATCCTTCCGATTTTGGTGCCCCCAGATCTGGACGCAGCACTCCTGGTGGGGTCTAATCAATTTATGCCCATGTCAGTCTAAGCAATTTACACCCTTCATCTTCCTCCTACAGAGCGCAGTATCCTGCTTTATAGTTAATTTGTTCTAGATTGTAGCTGAATGATGTAAAAATCTTAGGACCTGCACAACCACTGTCCCAGCGTCTCCCCTCCTCCCTCTACCCTCCTGTACACTGACAGACAGGGTCACATCGTGAAACACCTCCTGCTGTTGACAGTTCCACTGAAAAGAGATGGAGTGAGCAGGTTTAGGCTGTAGTTTTATTAAGGGCTTTGATACACCAAAGTAGTATTTGGGGTCTTTTTCCTATGCCGCTCAAACCTGAGGCACTGAATTCCCGTTGTCTTGTTTCTTGTTATATAGAATTAAGCAATTCCAAAGCTTCTTTCTGTACCTGAAAGAAATAAATTTAACAACACAGTCCCTTGGTGTAGTTAGGCAGTTCTTCCAGCAGAACTCCCCCTACAAGCACCCAGATGTTTCACCACACCACTGTCAATTCAGAACCCTCCTATCGTTAGTCACTTTGCTTCCTGTAGTTCAAGATGCTCAACACTTGAAACATAAATAGGAATAAACCACTTAAGGTTAACCTTAGTAGAGATGATTAACTCTCTGTTTGCTGTAGCCCCGTAGTAGGGTGTAGTAAGTTGTCCTGTTTCTGACCGTAACCATCCAACTCAGGGTTTTCAAAACTCTGGACAGTGGCTAAGGAAGTGTGAGAAGATTGTTTCTGAGACTCCCTTTGCCTGTGGATTCTGGATAAAATCTAATAAAATTTGTGGATGAACTCTAACATCTGTATTAAAACACCAAACAAAACCCAACCACCTTCTGGCCTGCACGGAGCAAGCAGCACAGACAACATGAGCCAGGTACTCGGAGGTGCAAAACATCGAGCAAACCCACTTAGGCCCACCTCTGCCAAATGCAGAGACATGACCTCCGATTCCTTGGCACAGGCCAGTTTCCTTCTTACCGGAATACTAAGTCTAGTTCCCAATGCATTTGGCATTTCCTACGGCCACCCAGACTGGGGAGAACAGCACCTCTCCCTTGAGCAGCTCTGCACCCTTCCAGGAAGAGGAAATAGATGGTGGTACCAGGGGGCGGGGCACTGCTGCAGGAGCTAAGCCCTTCAACAACTCGGCTGCTGCGCCGAAGGAGGCAGTAGCCATTCTTCCGTCGTTTCCAAAGAAAGACAAGCTTCTGTCATCACCGGTTCTGCCTCTGCCTCCAGCTACCGCGAACCGTCAGAACCAATTTCGGACCTAGCTGAGCCCACTCTTCCTTCAGGCTACTGAATTCCTGTGCATTTTGCAAAGCAGCAGAGGAGCGTGAACCCTTACTCATCTTTCTACCGAGGGAGCTCTCTCTGGGAGAAAGAGTTGGAGCTGTGCTACGGTCTGCAGAGGGAAACCTCAGTAGTGTGTAAGTTCTGAGGTGTAAGTGCAAACTCCTACCGAAGTGTTTCTTAAAATGAGGGCATTCAGAATGGCACAAGGCATTGGGATGTCTCCTGTAACCGTTACAGCATTTCACACCGCGGCTTCATGCTGAATGAATTGGACAACAGTCAACCACAAGAAAAATCAGCTGGGAATCGTGCTCTGTTAGTCCCGATGCTAACAGAGTGTTGAGGAAAGGTAGCTGCCGCCGCTGCGCTTTATACTGAACGCAGCGGTAAGCCTGAACGAGTCTAGCCTACCCTCCTGCAGGACTCTCTGTTCCGGTGGGAAGCAGATGCCTATCACATGCCAACCGAACCAGGATCCCTCTGAGCACTTCAAAAGGGTGATTAAGAGCCTCCATGTCACCCAGCACTGGAGTTTTCCTGTCAAAGACACATTCCTTCCATTCATCCCAACTCAGATAGTCTGAGTCTCTCCCTTGGGGCCTGGAGAGGACTGCAGTGGTTAACTTTTATGGATCTAGGAAGTTTTTGATGCATGCATGCTTGTTTCTTCCTCCTGTTCATGTGGGTTTTAGCTCTTTCAAACTGTGATTTCTACCTTTCCAGTTTTGGGCACATGAAAAGAAGAAAGCGTAATAGCTCTTTATAATATACCAAATTTTTCCAACCCTTGTGTTCAGGGACAGTTACCAACATACTAGGGTTTTTTTTTTGAGTCTGGATGTGATCCTGGAATATAGATCCTGAGCTACAATTTATTCTGAGTAAACTTTATAAAACATCCCACTGCGGTGATGTCACACGCGTTGGTTACAGGATGTAACAATGCTTTTACAGTTCTTGACTTCCTACCTGTTTGTCCTCTTCTGTATGTGCAGGATAATCCTTGGCTTTGCTTAACCACAGAAGAGCCATCTTCTTATTGTTCAACTTCAAGTATGTCTTCCCCAAATACAGTAAGTTTTTGCTGTAGAAATTTGGGTCAGCTGTATAGAGACAGGAGAAAAACTCTGAGTGAGAATGAGCAGCATACCAGCAAAGCCACGATACCGTGTCACTCCTTCAGACAATCATTTCCGAAAAGATGAATGTTACTCTGGCTTTTGGATCAGAAGGAACTTTTACTACCTAGATTTTGGTCTCGGATATAGTTATGTTAGCTAGCAGCTTCTTAAGTCAATCTACTGAGTGAAACAAGAATCCTCACAAAGAGCAAGGCAGCGAGCTTAATGTGCAACGGATTGGCTTTGCAGATTCTGTGCTTTTCTGGACCACGCAGGGGCAACAGGCAGCGCAACCAGCTTAGCAAGTACAGGCAGGGAAATAAAGGGCACATTTCCTAGCTGCAGACCATGCACACACAGATATTACTTTAGCTTTTCCTACACAGGAAGAAAACTTAAATCGGCTTGTACCCACATTTAACTTTTTTTTGAGAGAGAATTCAGAAATTGCTTGTATGAAGCATACTTGGGCTATCAGTCATTATGAAAGACTAGTCTTGCCCACTGCTCGCTCTTAGAGCACAAGGTCTGCTGCTGGTTCTAAGGTCAGCATTCAAATTTTGTAGTTCTTGTGCAAGAATGAAAAGTGTGCAAAGCCAGGTACCCTCCTGGTTGAGGCACGAGTAGTAGTTGGTAACAACGGCAGAGGCCGTGACAGCAGGCGTGCTGCCTGCTCCCCTCCTCCAGCCGCGCCCCCACGCCCTGCTGTAGTCCAGGATATACAGTTGCTTCAGTGAAAACGAACTGTGCCCATGACTGGCATGTTACTCTGCTGAAAAGTGGAGCGACTTTACATGTGCACAGAAAGCGGAGACGCAAACATGAGCTACAATGATGATGTTTTCAGAACTGCTGCCAATACTTGCTACGTTTTTTTTTTAGTCACTGACTCATTCTGTCCTTATATTTCATACAATTGCTTAGGTTGGAAGAGACCCTTAAAATCATCAAGTCCAACCATTAACCTCACACTGACAAGTCCACCACTAAACTAAGTCCCTCAGCACTTCATCCACACATCTTTTAACTACCTCCAGTGACGGTGACTCCAACACCACCCTGGGCAGCCTGTACCAATGCCTGACAACCCTTTTGGTGGAGAAATTTTTCCTAATACCCAGTCTAAACCTCCCCTGGTGCAACTTGAGGCCATTTCCTCTTGTCCTATCATTTGGGAGAAGAGACCAACACCCACCTCTCTGCAACCTCCTTTCAGGTGGCTGTAGAGAGTCATAAGGTCACCCCTGAGCCTCCTCCAGTCCGAACACCCCCAGTTCCCTCAGCCGCTCCTCACAGGACTTGTGCTCCAGACCCTTCCCCAGCTCCATTCCCTTCTCTGGACACGCTCCAGCCCCTCAATGTCTTTCTTGCAGTGAGGGGCCCAACACTGAACACAGGATTCAAGATGCAGCAAATTCCAGCAAGCAAGGTTCATAGCTGTACAACAGGACACAGAGCTTTGCCCACCAACATCAGTCAAGAAACCAGTAAAAAAAAAAAAAAAGTATGACAAACACAGGTAAATATATGGAGGTTTTGGAGGCAAATCTTGAGATTGAGCCCACTGTTCCAGTTCACAGCTGCATTACCTGACACCCAGGGGAAGATACACTGAACTTTTCCTTTAAATTTCCCTGATATAACGATATAGAAGTATCTTACCTTCCAGGTAGTCAGTTTTGCTTATGGCTTCCCTCTTGAAGCAATAATAGGTCTGTATTTTCTTTTACAAGTGGACAGTTTTACTGCCAGTCAGATTAGTACTTTGATCCAAATAGTTTCTGCAGTAATAAAGAGTGTCCCTTCTCTGTTGTTCTATTTAGAATAGAGAGGACTTTGAAACTTAAAGAAAATTTAGAAAAAGTGACATAAAATTCTCTTTCATGCTCGCTTCTTCCCCCTAAATTCCAGTTGCATGCCTCGGTGAAGAGTACTTTGTTACTAACAAAGGTACAAATTGTGCTTCAGTACTTATTCCAAAGAGACAACAACGGAGTGGGGACAGTAAGCATGTAACGTGCTCCGAGTATCTCTGATGAAACACTCCGATGTAGCAACGCAGTGACCAGCACAACACGTTAATCGGCAGCTCATACGCTATTAAGGTAATACCAAAAGCTAGAGCTTTACTGCAAGTCATCCTTCATGAAAGGTACTATTCTGTCCAAAAAAGCTGGAAGTATTACCTTCCTCTGCCATGTGGAAGTAACGAAGGGCCTGCAAAAGAGAAGGTTGTCGTCTTTAGAATGGAGAATAAACCCAGCACAGTAGTCAAACCAAAGCCTTATGCACATGCTTAACCCAGCTGAAGGACTTCCTGTCCGTGACTGTATTTTCATTAATTCAGAATGCTCCCGATGGTTCTCCTTCTCTGTACAATCAGATTTGACATTTTCTCAACAGAACTAGTACTTACTCCCCTGCCCTTTCTGTCCCTAGCACAACTGGATTGTGTTTTTCCAGTCTTCAACTTGTTGAGATAATTTTGAATTTTATTTGTACCTTCGGGCACATCTGCAGTTTCCCCCGGCCAGTTCTCACGGAAGAGATAAAACAGATCTTACTGTTCAGGTCATTGATAATGACACAAACACTTCAGGGAGAACTAGATCCTGCAGAGTACCGGCTAGGATCCTCGTAACTGAGGATAAACCTTTATGGAACCTGCACATATTTTTCAACTAGCTTCCCATCCTGCTCATCAGAACTTCTAGTGGAAGGTGTCCCTGCCCATGGCAGCGGGGTTAGAACTAGATGGTCTTTAAGGTCATTTCCAACCCTAACCATTCTGTGATTCTATGAAATTGCAGTCTGTTCCTACCTCTTCCTGATGTCACCAGCTGGAGGGAAGATACCATCAAAGAACTTAAAGTGCGGGTATATCTACAAAACAGCTTTTGTACAGAAACTGCCTTACCAGTACGGCTCAACCACAGGTTCTGGGACACGTTTACTTCTTCATGCAGTTTAAGCCCTACAGAACCCGATGCTGGGACTGGCATGATTCTGCAGTATTCCAAATCATAGAATGGTTGGGGTTGGAAGGGACCTTAAAGATCATCTAGTTCCAACCCCCCTGCCATGGGCAGGGACACCTTCCACTAGACCAGGTTGCTCAAAGCCTCATCCAGCCTGGCCTTGAACACTTCCAGGGATGGGGCATCCACAGCTTCTCTGGGCAACCTGTTCCAGTGCCTCACCACCCTCTCCGGGAAGAACTTCCTCCTGATATCTAATCTAAACCTCCCCGCTTTCAATTTAAACCCATTCCCCCTTGTCCTGTCACTACAGGCCCTTGTAAAAAGTACCCCCCCAGCTTCCTTGTAGCCCCTTCAGGTACTGGAAGGCTGTAATGAGGTCTCCCCAACAATCCTGCCTGACACTCTGTTCTTTTGAGAGTGATCTCCAGCAAAACTTGGGAGCCTGACATTCCATTTCAAAGCCTGATTTCTTTTTCAGTTTGAACTTAGATGACTTCCCAACAGCAAGCAGCCTTCTACAGTTATTTACTAGTGACCCCTGCCCACCCCACCTCAAAAGAACAAAACATAGCGGACCAGTCCTTGGTTGATCCAAACAACAAAATCTCTAATAGCTGCAGCAAACCTTCCTATTACCAATTTAATTTTCAGGTTTCTATATATGTAAGAGTGTTTAAGTAAGATGCAGACTGTGTCAGATACACCCTGGAAGATACACACCTAGG